TTTCGTTGTTTAATACAAAAACATTTGGCAGAGTGCTCAATGGATATCCAGAGCATAATTAAATAATAGTACTAAAGATGCCTAGCTAATTAATAACTAATAGTAATAAAGATGCCTAGTGGAATTTGTTGAGTCGTTGCACTTATTTTATATATATATATATATATATATATATATATATATATATATATATATATATATATATATATATATATATATATATATATATATTAAGATGTTCTAGAGTGTGTATGATATAATTTCCATACCCAGCGCAAGCAGAAAGATGTTGTCTGCCGCAGCTGGGTCTTGAACCCGCGACATCCGAATTACTAGATCGACCTTCTACCAACTGAGCTACACGGTCAGACGGATTTAAGACTGGAAATTATGAAATATATACTGAATGTCATAAACATACTCGTTTATATTTGCTGCCGAAGGCAATACTAGTTCTGCAAGTGTTATGTTAGTTGTGTAATTGTACACTCTGTAATATGTTAAGATGAATATATATATATATATATATATATATATATATATATATATATATATATATATATATATATATTAAGATGTTCTAGAGTGTGTATGATATAATTTCCATACCCAGCGCAAGCAGAAAGATGTTGTCTGCCGCAGCTGGGTCTTGAACCCGCGACATCCGAATTACTAGATCAACCTTCTACCAACTGAGCTACACGGTCAGACGGATTTAAGACTGGAAATTATGAAATATACACTGAATGTCATAAACATACTCGTTTATATTAATTCAGCATCGAACAATACTAGTTCTGCAAGTGTTATGTTAGTTGTGTAATTGTACACTCTGTAATTGTTTATGACATTCAGTATATATTTCATAATTTCCAGTCTTAAATCCGTCTGACCGTGTAGCTCAGTAAGTAGAGCGTCGATCTAGTAATTCGAAGGTCGCGGGTTCGAGACCCAGCCGCCGCAGACAACATCTTTCTGCTTGCACTGGGTATGGAAATTATATAATACACACTCTAGAACATTTTCATCTTAATATATATATATATATATATATATATATATATATATATATATATATATATATATATATATATATATATATATATATATAGAATTACGTTTCGTTGTTTAATACAAAAACATTTGGCAGAGTGCTCAATGGATATCCAGAGCATAATTAAATAATACCGGGTGGCGCAAAAAAAAGTACAACTGTTTGATTACTTGTAACTCAGAAACAATAAGCAGTAGAACCATAAATCGAGTTTAATTGCATCCAGCGATATCTAACTTAAACTTTGGTATATTTGACAGGCATATTCGTCCAAGATTAACTGAGATATAAGAGTTTAAACTTTTGTTAACAATTTTGAAACGGTCACAAATTAGCTAAAATCAGTTTAATAGGCCGTTTTTAGCTAATTTGTGACCGTTTCAAATTTGCTAACAAAAGTTTAAACACTCATATCTCAGTCAATCTTGGACGAAAATGCCTGTCGAATATACCAAAATTTAAGTTAGACATCGCTGGATGCAATGAAATTCGATTTTGGGTTCTACTGCTTATG